TTGTTAACAGTTAACACTTCAGTTAACGTCTAAAATATTTGTTAACAGCGAACACATTTATTAATGCGAAGCGTAAAAATAATTGTTAACGTCTACAATATTTGTTAACCGCTAACACGACGTCGAATCTAAAACCCGGAAAATTGATATCATCAAAAAATTGAGGATTCAAAGCCATTTATGAAAAAAATAATGAAATTTAAAATTTAATTGTATATAGAATGATAGAGATTTGTAAAATAATTAGGGATTGGAGAGAAAAAAAAGGTCAAAATTGAGGATTCAAAGCCACTTATGAAAAAATAATGAAATTTAAAATTTAATTGTATATAGAATGATAGAGATTTGTAAAATAATTAGGGATTGAATAGAAAAAAAAAGAGGGGAGATGTCAAAGAGAGGAGAAAGAGTGTAGAGAAGGGCAAAATGGTCCAAAGAAAAGTGATTGTCACATCGTGGTCAATTCTCTAATTATAGGTGTCAAATAGGGCACTTTAGCCAATTATCTCTAGATTTATCACATGCATATATAACCCAATTTATCATGATATAATATATCACTCACAATAATCTTAGCTGATTATGTCCTATTGATTTAGTTGTCAACTAAATTTAGATTTCATTATTTGGTCATCGTGGGAGAGTTTCAATGCTATAATTTCATATCAGTATTAACATGTGTTCTTGAATTTGGTGATGACAAAAAAAAAAGTAAATATACTCTTTAGAGAGTGTTGACAAACAAGATCACACATCATATCGTTAGAATCTCTCGATAATACAATTTTACAGCTGTTTTAAACTACAGAAAATGTAAAGTAACATGGTAAGATGTCGTCATCAAGAACAACTAACAATAAATCAACGGATTTGTATATTTTTTTTTTTTTTTTTTTTTTGTCAACAACCCATTGTTACTAGATCAAGTGGTAGTCAGACGAGCCGATTCCCCGGGGTACCTCCATCAAGTGGTACAACGGATTTGTATATAAGCAAGCAAAGACAGTTTTAAACTTTAAAGCGTTTAACTAACAAAATGGACCAAAGCCAAAAGGTTAGACTTTTGGATGGTTACGTAACTAACAGAAACACCTCCCAACCACCTTCGGACAGAGCAGCTATGGTCGGAATCTCCGGCGATCAGTCTGTAGATTCAGGCCAAGCCCGTCTCAAGGAGCTCGGCTACAAGCAAGAACTCAAGCGTGACCTCTCGTCTGTCTCCTCTCTTGTCCCTTTTTGTCTTCTTTCTGAATTTTAGTTTTTATCTCTAAAGCTTAAAACATTTTGATGACTTCAGGGTCTTCTCCAACTTCGCCATCTCCTTCTCCATCGTCTCTGTGCTCACCGGGATCACCACCATGTACAACACCGGCTTGAGATTCGGCGGGACAGTCACTCTTGTCTATGGATGGTTCGTGGCTGGAACTTTCACTATGTGTGTGGGGTTGTCAATGGCTGAGATCTGCTCCTCTTATCCAACTTCCGGTGGACTTTACTACTGGAGTGCTATGCTTGCTGGCCCACGTTGGGCTCCACTTGCCTCTTGGTTGACTGGCTGGTACACTTTTCTTCTTTTTCTCTCTCTTTGAATCTGTTGGAAACAAGCTTGTCTCTAATGTCGTGTCACAATCTTTCAGGTTCAACATCGTTGGTCAGGTTTGTTATAAACTTATAGATCATTCTTATGGCTTGTCTTAAAAGTAATATGTTGTGTTTTGTGTGTTTGTAGTGGGCAGTGACGGCGAGCGTTGACTTTTCTCTAGCACAGCTGATTCAGGTGATTGTACTTCTATCCACCGGCGGTAAAAACGGCGGAGGATATGAAGGATCTGACTACGTTGTGATTGCAATCCATGGGGGAATCTTGTTCATACATGCACTTCTCAACAGTCTCCCCATCTCTGTTTTGTCTTTCGTTGGACAGCTTGCTGCTCTCTGGAACCTACTTGGTACCTCTCAATCTCTTTGTTTTTTATTTATGTCTAGACACGAGCAAGTAAGTCAACGGATCTGTTTCGTTATTTAGGTGTTTTGGTGCTCATGATTCTGATTCCTTTGGTCTCTACGGAAAGAGCCACAACTAAGTTTGTCTTCACACATTTCAACACTGACAATGAAGTCGGTATTACTAGCTACGTTTACATATTCGTCTTGGGGCTACTCATGAGCCAGTACACCATTACAGGATATGATGCATCTGCCCATATGGTGAGTGTGGTAACAAATGGGTTCTGTTTTTTTTTATGATAGAGTTAAGATTTTCGTGATGATGTAATAAGATATAAATTCCTGTAGACTGAGGAGACCATAGATGCAGACAAGAACGGGCCAAGAGGAATAATCAGTGCAATAGGGATATCGATTTTGTTTGGATGGGGTTATATATTGGGCATAAGCTATACGGTCACAGACATACCGTACCTCCTGAGTGAGACTAATAACTCTGGTGGGTACGCCATTGCTGAGATCTTCTACTTAGCTTTCAAGAGCAGGTTTGGAAGTGGTACTGGGGGGATTGTGTGCTTAGGTATTGTTGCGGTTGCTGTGTTTTTCTGTGGTATGAGCTCTGTGACAAGCAACTCCAGGTATGTATTTTTGTTTGGTTTGAGACTTAAAGCATCGTTTGCAGTTTGGATTTTGATCATATGCGTGCATGTGTTTGGGCAAAATCAGGATGGCTTATGCGTTTTCGAGAGATGGAGCAATGCCATTGTCTCCCTTATGGCACAAAGTGAACAGTAAAGAGGTTCCTATTAACGCGGTTTGGCTCTCTGCTTCCATATCATTCTGTATGGCTCTCACTGTAAGTCCTTCTCTCTCTCTTTCTGTGTCTGTATCTGTGTTGAGATTATTTGTTCTTATGTGATGAAAACTGGCAGTCACTGGGGAGCATAGTGGCGTTTCAAGCAATGGTATCTATAGCAACTATTGGACTGTACATAGCATACGCAATCCCTATCCTTCTAAGAGTGACATTGTCACGCAACACCTTTGTGGCTGGACCATTCAGCCTTGGGAGGTACGGGTTGGTGGTTGGGTGGGTGGCAGTCATATGGGTTGCAACCATCTCTGTTCTTTTCTCACTTCCTGTGGCATATCCAATAACGGCTGAGACACTCAACTACACTCCGGTTGCAGTCGCTGGTTTGTTGGCTATAGTCATCTCGTATTGGCTTATAAGTGCTCGCCATTGGTTTACTGGTCCGGTCTCCAACATTCTTAGCTGAAACAAGTTTATAATCTTTTGGGGGTGTTTCATGTTTGTTGCTCTTATTCATTATTGTAAAGGCATTCTAGCTGTAACTTACCTTTTATGTATACAACAAGCAACATCATCTCCTATTCATATATTTATAAAGTTCAACTTAAAGAAACAAATAGAGTAATAATCAACTCATAGTCCTAGAAGGACATACAAACGAGAAATTTAGGTAAGGTAAAATAAATATGCCAGGAGGGGGGTTAAACATCTCAGATTCCTAAACTATACAGTTTTAAATTATAACAAAATAGAGTAATGAATCAACTCATAGTTCTTGAATGACATTAATATGAGACAAATAAGACCTTTAAGTAAAGCAAAATAAACACGCTAGAAGGAGGGGTTGAACCTCCGACCTTGTGGTTAACAGCCACACGCTCTAACCAACTGAGCTATTCCAGCTGATCGATAAATGTAAACAATTAGGCTTAATATTCGTTACTAGACTTGCCAAAACTTGACTTCCGAAACGGACTAGTTTTTCTCTCGTTAAGAGATGTTATTTTTTTGTTAAGAGACATGTTAGATTAGTCTTGTTTAGTTATTTAAAGCCTTATACTTTCTTAACTGGGGATAGTGTATGTACTTGGTTTTTTTTCTTATGTTTCAGATAGCTTGGTAACATATTCTATTGATCGTGATACATGCAAGTTGAGATAGGAGTGTTTTGAAGCAACGTTAATTTAACATGTGTGGATCTCCAAAATGTGAAAACATGTAGCAGTCAACAATCAGAAGAAAAACTACTTAATTAGCTGGGGTGTAGTTGTTCAAAGTTGTATCTGTACTATCTATGTGCATTCAAACTACAAAGGTCTACTAAGTACTTTGAATTGTTTTGCCTAAAGGTTTTGATTTTTATCTATTTGTTTGTTTTTCAAAATCTCATTCACTGAAATCACTCTTAATCAATTATGTTTGGAAGAAGAGATAATTCTATGCTATTAATGATGTTTTTGTGTAGGAAAATATTATGTTGGATTCAAGTTGCGCACTACACTACACCCTCAAGTCCACTTCTACCAAAAGAAATATAAAACCTCACGTTTTATTTTCCTAAAAAAACTCATGTTTTGTAGTTAAAGGAACAAAAGCAGAGATTTCCCATTTTGGGTTGAATGGCTGTGATTCATCAGTCATTGACTTTTCTTATGCAAAAATGAGATTAATTCCAGTTAGGCATGAGATATGCAAATTGCCATGTTTTGCTGTTTTTTTCTCTCTTATACATTAGGTGATAATTCCGAGTCTCCACTTGATAACATTTTACAACCACTACAGTTTAATGTGATTCTCTTAACTCTTCGGTTTTACTTGGGTCTACGTGAGTTTTTACTTGGTTAGGCTTCTGGTTGGGTTTGGCTTAGTTTAAGGTAAAATTTTGGGTCAAATGGCCCGCTCCGGTGGCATTGTTCTAGACATGTTGTTTCTTTCTTCGGTTTGATACAAAGCAAATGATTAAAAAAAATCTTAAGTTACCAATTACAAAGGATATTACGGATCTCATGAAATCAACAAAGAGCACTCACTACACAGAGGGCAATGCTACCAGACTTGTCTAAGGATCTCTGAAGGTGCCATTGCTCTTTGATTGGATATTCTTTTTTTCAAAGATAAATGCAAAGTGTGGAAAGTGCAAGGAGGAGAGAAGTGCAAAACTTAAGACATCGTGGTCCCATCACATGGCAAATGTTGATGACTTGTTTGCTGGTGTTTTTATTTGCAGGATTCAAGATGTACTATCCCAAAATATAAAGAAAACCAAGAAAGTAAAATGCAAAATAGTAGTAGTTCTTGTCTTTGTGCGGGAACAATTACAAATCCATGCGCATCACAAGCTTTCGATTTTGCTAATATAATTTTTTGAACAAACACAAACATTTTCCATACTAAAAATTTACATGTGCGAAAATTTTAATAACAAACGAACCTCTCCGATCTAATCTGACAGATTCTAAAAAATTATATATATAAAGAAGAGAATTTCGAAGAAAATAATAAAGAACACCCAAATCCCTAAAAACAAAAGAAAGAGGAGAAAGCCGCGTGATCCAAAAAACGCCCAAACTCTTCATCTCTCTTTCCTTCTTTTTTTTTTTTGTTCATCAGATAAGTGAAGAACTCAGTGAGATGCAGCAGTGGCTGCTTCTGAGAGAAGAGAGATCGATTCCCCACATCCTCCATTACCAAGCAACGGAGATCTACAAAGCGGACAATTGAAATTGAGATGTTGGAGCCAACCTTCCAAACACTGTTTGTGAAACACGTGTCTGCATCCCAGCTTCCTCACTTCTTCTCCGGTCTTGAGTGTAGACAAACACACGATACAATCGGAGGACGCGACGGCGGTATCGGCGTAGCGGTATGAGAAGAGTCGGTTGAGTTTGAGCTGGTCAGCGAGTTCAACGAGGTTAGTTAATCCTGAAGAAACCGAGAAAGGAGTATGTTCTTGTCCGGAGGAGGAGAAGCGGAGGAAGAAAGAGCGGACGTGTTTGAAGAAAGTAGCGAGGAGAGCAACGAGCATGAGAGGGATTGAATCTGATGAAACGTCTGAGAGTTGACCTTGTAACCCCATCTTCTTCTTCTTCTTCTTTAGATTTTTTTTTAGAGAGAGTGTGTTTGGTTTGGTTGCTGCGGCTGAAGAATTCGATGTTTTCTTTAATCTGCATCTGCTCTTTTCTTTATATGGAGGAGGTGAAGAGAGAGAGATGAATTATGATAGAGGCCACGTGTTGCGGGACCCTTCCCTTCTCTTTTTTTTTTTTTTTCTTTAACCCTATCAACATCAGTGTTTTTCTTTCTTTTTCTATCCACATATTTCATTTTATTACAAAACATACCAACATAATTTTGTATTTTTATTTTCTCCCCTTCCCGAACTTTTTTTCGATTTTATGGAATTATAAGTAGAAAGAAAGTCAAAAGCGGTGCCTGGTTTAATTCAATACTAGATTTTGATCCGCGCAACCGCGCGGGTATTTGTTTTCGTTTATAGTTAGTTATATAAAAAAATTATTCACTTGTAAATTGATGTATATTATAGTAATTACATATTTACGATATGTATAGTAAATGTTTTTCAAACATAATAAAATTATATAATAAGTGTTTTAATCAAATAGATTGTTTTAAATTTATATATTATACATGTTTTTAAAACATGTGTTTGTTTCTTCTTCTATATTTTATTGTTTGTTAGATTAGTATTTCATTTTTAGATAAAGTAATATAAATACAGCTTGATTAAATATTAGTATACTTTAATTTGCAAAGATAATATAAACTTCGAAGAAATTTTTGCTATAAACTAAACTTATAGCTTCATAAATTAATATTATAAAGAATTTTATTAAAAAGGAATTTTTTTAAACAATTTCTTTTTTTTTTTTTAAAATATAATTTTAAAAATTTACATCGAAATAAATTTATCTAATATATATAGCGTGTAAATTTTGTTAGGGTATACAAATATTTCATATTACTAATCTGTGATTTTTGTTAATATATTGTGGATGCATTTAACTATTATTGACATATTTCCTTATAAATAATAGAAGATTTCTAAACTTATATCTATTGACATATTTTGTGTGACTAAGTTGGAAGGTGTGAGGTAATTTACCAAAACCAAATTGTTAAGCGTATCTTTGTTATTATAGATATGATTTTTTATAAGATATAATAATGATAAGATTATTAGAGAGTTAATGTAACATAACTTTCTAGTAATAGTCCATTTTTAAAAAAATCACACATGAAGTCAAGTCATGACTTCTGTTTTAATATATAAGATAAACGGAAGCGAGAGATGATGGTGTTGAATGACTCTCTTGTATCTTAGCTTTACCCTTTGGCTACTCCGTATTCTCAAACACCAAACAAACTTAAAGCGCCTTCAGAGTTTGAGTTTTGGAACCACAGCAAAAGCCAAACTGAAAGTTTGATGACATCTAATGTGTCGCGGTTCTTGTGTTACGTGGTATTTCATGGTTACACACTTTTGCGAATTATTTCTATCATATTTACCTCCAAAATCTTAACTCTACAGGATAAACAACCAACAAATTTCATAAACAAATGTTTATTCACTAACGAGGAAGCTAAAATTCAAAATTCTCTAATCGGAATTCTAGGTTACATGGTCAAATTCCATAAGAATAGTTAAATTATATAATATGAATTCGCAAACACGGAATGGAGATGATAATGACTTTCTTGTAATTTAGCTTAGCTTTAGCTACTCCGTATTCTCAAAGACCAAACAAATTAAACAGCCTTCAATGATTTGAGTTTTGGAACCACAACAAAAAAACTGAATGCATCTAATGTGTCACGGTTCTTGTGTTACGTGTATTTCATGGTAACACACAAATATTTATTCTTTCTAAATCACATGTAGGTCCAAAATATTAATAAAACATAAACTATGTTTATTCAAAATAAACCTATTATTGTGATCACTTTTAAGTATCCTCTAACATGGATAAAGTTGTACTAGCGTCGACCCTCGTTAGACTATACACATTAATTATCCAAGTACTGTGACAATTACTAATTCTTAAACGGCTAAATGCATTTAATAATTCATATGTTTATACATTGATTTACAAAAGTGTAGAACATTGGAGAAGCCATTTTACACAATATAAAAAGGAATTGGACGGCGTTTTGCTGATTATTCTTTGATTAACAACTGACAGGGAACCAACTAATTAATTATATGCCTTGTGGGTTATTTCTTATGATTATTATATAAACTTTGATATAGATAATAAACTTTGATATAGCTAATTCATTTGTGGACTCGACGAAGATTTTAGCACGATCCCCGCCTCGTTTGTTGTCTCCCGCGTGACGTATATATTACTTGTAATGCTCTGATTATAACTATTAGGACTGGACACAAATGCTTAATACTCCCTCCATTTCAAATTATATGTCATTCTAGAATAAAATTTTCGTTTCAAAATAAGTGTCGTTTTATAATTTCAATGCAAAATTTATTGATTTTAAATGTTATTCTATTTTTTCATTGGTTGAAAAGTGGTTATGTGTATAGGTAATTGTGTTTTTATTTTGAAAATATGTAAAATTAATTATTTTCTTAATCTGTGTGCAAAACTCTAGAATGACAATTAAATTGAAACGGATGGAGTATTCGACTTGTACTTGTTAGTTGATTCGGTTTAGTTTGAAAAACAAATACTTGCTCCAATCAAGTCGAGTAACAAATAAACAGATTTTACTATTCACAAATACAAATCAAATATCAAATTAATTTTAATTTTTAACTATTTGGTTTGTTACTTGGTTTATTACTTATTATCATTTATTGGTTACTTGTCATATGTTACGTAGTTCATTAAATACTTAGTATATATTTCATTAATTAATTAAAAAAATTGTATTTTATGAATGACCACAATTACTTGTTATTTATCTCATGTTCACTACTTAGTTGGTACACAATCTTAAAATCGAATAGTATTTATTTTGACTAAGAGGTGTATCAAGTAATATATTTAAACTACTTTTAAATACAAATAAATACAAAATAATAAAATAAAACTAATTATTCAGCGTTGTTTGGTTTATTATTCGTTTTTGTTAATAAAAAGATACATTTTCCTAAATCATAGTAAAATAACTCCTTTATATTTAAATTTTTATAAGTGAATCAAACATAAGTGATATATTTATATAAACATTTTGAAACTTTTTATTTCTTAATATAATATATATCATGAATGACTAAAAAGAAACAATGACTAAATGAAAACTATGACATATTATTTATATATAATATATTTATTTATTTTTTAGTTTTAACTAATTATCAAATAATTTATCAATAGTTATCAAGTAATTTGTAAAAATTTTACAAATAACAAATAATAAAACAAAGCAAGTAACTTGCAAGTCTATCAATTTTTCGCAAATACTTAAAACTGTAAGTACGTGTTTTTAACAAACTAAATACAAATCTAAAATTTGAATACTCGTACAAATTAAGCCGAAGACTAAGTATACCAAAAACATCAAATACTCAGTTTGTGGCCAACCCTAGCTTTGATATCGAATTGTATCATACCAGTTCTACTGATTCAAGCAAATTCTACTATTCACTTCGTGCTACCTATGATGAGTTATTTTTAAAATTAAGTAGTAGTGGTACTTTTTCCGTCTCATTAGTAAGCTGTTTTAGCTAAAAATGAAAAGTCTAAGAAAATATACTTAAAATGTTTTTTTTTTGTTTTCGTTTGTTTTTATTATCATTATTTAATATTTAACATAAAACACTGTAGAATACAAATAGTTGCAAATTTTTTTAGAAAAAATCACAAAAGTAAAATATTTTATAAATAAAAAACTCAAATATTTTATATTGTGAGACAGGAGTAACAGTACATTAATGATCATAAAAACATAATTAATGGAATATAAAATGGATGGAGATGTTAATTAGGTGTCCCGCCGTCCAAAAAGATATGGAGATCCAAGGGACTCTTAAAAATAGATACAAGTTGGGATAAAGATGTCTAGTTAAGTCATGGCATTAGCCAAGCAATGACAACCACATCGACTCTCTTTGACGATCTCTTGATTTAACATCATAATTAACATCACAAATAGTAAGTAAAGCCTAATTCAAGCCACTCACCACCACCTCCACATCTTGTCATCTTCATTCCCTGGTTGTGATTCCAATGGAATCTCTATTGGGTATTAATAACGTGTGCGTGTCTTATCTATCCTCGATTTCTTATACAATCAAACCATCTTATGTATATATATGTTGCATGAAAAAACATTATTTGTTTTTGAAAATACAAAATTTAGTATGCAACTCATTGACTCTTTATTTCAAGATTTGTTTGGTTATGTGTGCTGTTTTAGTTTTATAAAATTAGTATTCTTCTCAAAATAAAGCTAAAATTAAAACACTGTTGTAAAAATTAGAAAAGGAAGCAATACTAACTTATATTTCAAAAAGAAATACTAAGCCATTCATATCTAAAATATGATTAAAAAAAAATCAGATATATAATTAGTCAGATCATGAGAAAAGAAAGAAGAAGTATTTATCCTAGTCCTTGTAATGTATATATTATTTGGTTTCAAAATCGTAAGAAAGTAATTCCACATATTATTTAGCTTTCAAACTATATCATTGTTTCTGATCTTATGAAATTTAAGCCAACTTTACCACTAACTCACTCTATGGCGAAGTAGTTGAAGATCTAGGTAAATTCACAAATATTTCAGGTTAGATTCCATTATAAACAATTGTCTCTAAGTGATCACTTGTTTTTTAGAATAACCCGAACTAGATTTTGACCAGAACGTTAAAAATGTGAAATTTGTTCTTTATCAAAATCAGATTCGAAAATAATATTATGATGTTAGTTTACAAAGTATTTTGAACCGTATGGGTGTTTGTTTTCACTTTTATATACATAAATATTTGTTTTAGAACATAAGTGGTATATATTTTTAACGTTAATCATATATTTAAATGTTTATATAACTATTTCAAATATAATAATTTTATAATATACATTAATAATATGTTAAAAACCGTGTGTATTTTTCATGTCTTATTATATATTTATCTTGTTGTATTTGCATTTATTTTTTAAGAAAATATATAAATGCATGAGAAAACATACTCTAAATTACTTTATATTTAATTTATGGTAAATTCTGACCCGATCTCCAAAACGTGATTTTCTTTTACCAATATTTTCATGTTTATTCATTTCATATAATATATTATTGTATATACAAAAGTATAAGATATTTTAATTTTTAGACATGTATTATATAGTTTGCTAATTTTAAGCC